TATTTTTTTCTTTAATTTTTATTTTCATTTACAAATATATTCGAAAGATCGAGTTAAGCAGCACAAAATATTTTTTGTCTCATCGTTTGATTTTAATTTCAAGGCCTCTATTATTGAGAATTTCATCAAGTTTACCCGAAGTTCAAACTACAGATGTCATATTCCAACAAAATTTTGATTAGCATTTTACTTTCCATCCTTTTCCTTTTTCTAATCAATACTGAAGCTTCTCAAAAAGTTGCTTTCAAATCAAAAATGCGAAATGAGTTATCTTCTGGTTTAATTAAGACTGGGGTTAATTAAGGTGCTTGAATTAGGTTTAAATTATATTCACGTGGAATTTTCTGTCCTTCTTTTGAGGAACTTCGAAAAGAATGAATTACGCAGTTATGCGTTTCATTTTTCGGACGTGCACACTTTTTATAAATAGCTAATTATCAAATAAAATACTTTCAGATCTGCGTATTAATTATTAAAGTATTGCACTATTTCTTCTCGAATTACTACTTATTTAAATATGTTTCTGAATGCTGTTTATTAGTCACTCTATCGAAGTGCTTTTGATTTAATGCCATGTACATTATACTATTCATATATTTATCATTATTCACATCTAAAGCGTTTCGTCTATTTTGAAGTATGCTAAAAACTATTTAAAAGAACATCAAACTATTCAATGGCCGCTAAACATTATTATAATTTTTTTCCCAGAAATTAATTTTAATTTGCTTACATTTTAATCAATAATAACATAAGTGCTGAGAAGAAAAGATGTAAATAAATGTAAATCATCGCAAAATATACATAATCGTTTTTATGTCCAATATGAGTAGTCTATGCAAAAGATTTTCAACAAAGTTTCCCGGTAAAGCAAGAATAAAATAACTTTTCTTAGTAGATTCGCTTTTTTTAATCATGCGAAACCCCTGTTAGGAAAAAATGTATATAGCGAGAATTTAAAAATCAGTTCATTTGTAGGAACTGACTGGGTTTAAAATTCAACTTCACATTTAAAATTTATCCCAAAGATTCATCACTAATATCCAGCCATGCATAAGTTGAAAAAAATCAAAATAAATAATGGTCTTCTCTTTCAAAAGCCACTCATTATGTTCTAAAATAATACGCTATTTATTTGGAGGAATTTCTTCCGAACGTAGAGGTCTGTTTTCTAGTTGCTCCTTATTTTTTCCAGTCAATTTGATGGAATTTCCTTCAGCCGAACATTTGTCTTGTCAAAAACAAACAGCATTAAAGAAAACCATTTAAGGTTCGTTTTGGGTTTCATCCCTTTTCTGTTGTCTTCTCTCTCTTCCCATTCGATAATCTCGGTTGGTGAAAACTGTTTTCCTATCAACATGTAAGAGCTTTGAAAAATGAAGCTAAGAGTAAATTGGAGCGTGAAGAATGAAAGAAGAGCAGCTCGTCTTTTTCGAAATTACTCTCATCGGCGATTCAACAAAGTAAATTGAAGTAGCAGTGAGTTTTATTAAGAATTCCTAGCTATCAAAGAAACTTTGCAGTGTTGCAGTGTAATGAAACACATGCATTTCGGGAAGGATTATTTGTAAATTCACGTGCCTCATTACTTTTTTAATCTAATTCAATAAAGTATTACTTCACATCATGTTGTTTCTTCTAATTTATTTCGCGGAAGGTTTAAATTGCATTCTTATTAATAAGCAACAAACTAACGTAGCACATAAGCAATAAAATAACAGAGAGAGAGAGAGAAAAAGTGGGAAAGAGAGACAATTTGCTTTCAACAATTTGGCTCACAAAGTGATTTTCCTGTAAATAAAACACTTTTATTCTCGGTAACTAACATTCGGCTGTCGAGTTCGCTGTAAAATGAGCTATCAGACTCCATTTTAAAGGATATAGTTTCGTAAATATCAATTTTTACAATACGTAAAAACAGCGTTTACGTTTTTAACATTTAGAGATACTTGTTGTTTCTAGTTAGTAAAACCTGTTTGTATGCGTTAATTAATTTTTTATGAAGTAACCTTTAAACTGCGCTTATTGATTTCAAGTCTCCCGTCCAAAAACTGCTCTAATTATCTGTAAAAACATTTTAAGTCGATTTGGTGACAGTTTTGTTGCATATATCTGTGATACTTCTGTGATACTTGTGAAATAAGCATGCTTCTTCTTCATTTCCATATACTTATTTCAAGAGGAAATCTGAATGTCACAGTCGCAGAAATAAAATATTAATTTTTATTCATTTCCGAGAGTTAAAACAAACTAGTTACATTGGCAATTTCATTTACTCATTTACATTGAAATCCTCCGCAAAACTCAGAAATCAAATTTCGTAAAAGTTTATTGTACAGTTTTATTGGGGTTTATGGATCTGCCCGTCTGATACATTTATTTCTTTTCATAAATGGATGATTTCGGTTAAATTTTTTAAACATCGTGGTAAAACAGAGTGGTTAATTGCTGTGTGATGATAAGTTTCTTTCAACTTATGGATTTGATTGCTGGGGATTCGTAAAACTCCACTGCTACTTCTATTTGTTGAATCGCCGATGAGAGTAAATTCGAAAAAGAAAAGCTGCTCTTCTTTCATTCTTAACGCTCCAATTTACACTTAGCTTCATTTCTCAAAGCTCTTACATGTTGATAGAAAAACAGTTTTCGGCAACGGATATCACCAAGTGGGAAAACGGACAAAACAACAGAATTACAATTAGCAGACGCTGGTGGTAATAACATATATAAAATACTCATGTGGAAGCGTGATATTTGGATTAGTTTGACAACGAAAACAGTCGATTTTTGAGTATGCTACGAGAATTAATTTAGTTACATACACAAAATTTTATAAAACTTACGAATGATTTAAAATTATTAAATTAAAAAACTATGTATGAAATTTTATTGCATTACTGCAAAATCAATGAAGCATTTCTATTCTGTTTTTTGTTGTTGTTTGCTGTTTTTGTTTTTTAAAAGTTTGTTATAATAAGAACTGATTTGAGTATGAAAGTTAAACTTCATATAACAATTTTGTATACTATAAAATGTAAATAAGTCAAATAAGCATAAGTCACATATTTTTTTTCTTCAAATATTTAAACTTAATTATCTTTGTAAAACAAAACTTATTATAAATAGTAAAAAAAATAACTTTGATGCAGTGTAGTCAGACAATTACATATATTTAACAGGATTATCAAACAGATGCTTCCCACATGTAAGTTTAGCATGAACAGTAATTAGCATTAGCAGGTTAAAGTAAATCGAGTAGTGAATATACACTAGTATAAAGGCTTATCGTAATTATTGGGAGAATTCCTTATATATATTTATACCAAAAGCACAAAAAATATGCAAATAAAATTTTTATTGTATTAAAATGCTTTCCTAAATGTTAATTTATGTTACAAAACTTTGTACTATTTTTTGTTTATTTTAGTTTCTACGGTATTTGCTAAAACATTCAAGGTGAAGTAAGACAGAAGATAAATGGAACTTGAATATACATCAGACAAAATGTAAACTGAAGCAGAAAAATTCAAAACATGTCAGTTCACTCTTTAAAAAATACTTAAATATTCCCTTCAAAATATAAAATGCCTATATCTGTAAGTGGATTGCATCCAAACCACTTCTTTTACAAACTGAGTAGACCGAGCGCTTTTTAAAAAATAAATATTTTGAAGAATAAACTTATTTTTTCTTTTTATGTTTAAAATGTAGAATACATATATTTCAAATATTTAACGCATCATTTTACCGACGTAGAGAAATGCGTACTAATCTTCATTTAAAATAGGTAAGAAAATACACATTGAAAAAGTTTTATTTTCTTTTTACTGATGACTTCTTTTCTAGAATCTATAAAAGTGTTACCAAAAACCTCACTGTACATTATTGCCTTTAACTGACCATTTACATTTGGAAAGTAGAGAAGCAAATGTAGTATTTAAATCGCCCTGTTATATGCGCACTACGAAATGGATTTATGTTATGAACACATTTAGTTCAAACTAACATTAAAAATTCGTGAAAGATTTATTTAAACAAAAACAGAAAGGTTTTCAATGGCTGAGAAATAACTGCTAACTTTTCAATGGCTGAGAAATAACTGCTTACTTAACATAATCTAGAACAAGTATAAAGTTTAAGGATTCATATGAAGCATTGAAAAGAAAAGAAAAAAATAACAACATATTTTATCGTAAGTTCTAAGCAAAAATTTAGGAGTAATTACTACCTCTCCAGTTTTATGATTATAAAATTTCTCAGGAGTGCATGTCATTCAGTTTCTTTCATATAGATATGGACGATTTAGTACGTCTAAAAACGTTATGAAATTAGAAACCCTTAAACCTTTTCAAATTATAGACATTTGCTTTCCAAATTTGAATGTTAAAAGAGTATTTAAGTGCAAGAATTTGATCAATATTTTTAAACGCATAGACACGCAGTCCTTTTAATTACAAACAATCATTCATAACCTGCCCGTCCTAGCTGCACAAAGACTTTCTTCCAAAGAAGTAATTTACCTCCTGAATTATCATCTCTGGTAACAAACATTATGAGAGTAGAAAACAGAGTTATTAATTCTGTCAACTTGTGAGAATCCCCACCCGAAGAGAGCATTGTTCGGAAAAACATAGTTTCAGATGCAGAAGGGAGTATTACATGTCATTCCTAACGGATGAAGAGGAAGCGCTTCAAGGAAGGCAGCACCACTATGCAAATAAAAAACAATGAAAGTGTTTGTTTTTATTTCCTTAATTGGGCTTGCGAAGAGAAAACACTAAGACTCGTCAGTTGCCCGAAGCAACAACATTACACCCGGAGGTCCCTACTGGAAGCCGCCGCACCACGCACGCCTCGGAACCCGCTCGATAAACCCTCCTCCCTCAGATGGATTTAAAGTCAAAGATAAAAAGGTCGAAATAGCGTCCGAAAATCGCTGTTGGGAACCCACGTTACCCGGAAGCGTAACAGAAAAATGAATCCAATGAAGAGGTACTTACGTAATCTGTAGTGAGTGTAGGACAGGCTACCATAGCGAATACTCAAGCGTGGTCTTGCAGCTCGAAGCAGTCCACAGCTTCGCCTCAGTTTGAATAGAGTTCCTAGCTGCGCGTACTGACTTTAACGTTGTAGGAGCGTGCGCCTGTGTGCGCGGGGGAACCAGAGTCATTTGAAATGCAGCTCCCACTAACACATCGGCTACTGGTCTCATATCTGCATGCTACGACCCCTCCCACTCAGTTCCCTCCCTTAGTTATACTTCAGACCCGCCCGTTTTTACATCCACCTGATTCTCCTACGCTTTTCCAAAGTCTTTCCCGCTAACAAGAGGCCTGGATTTTTGGCTTCTTTTTTTAATTTATTCAGCGTCTTTGATAGCGGGAGCCCCTGCTTTTTCTTTCTCTCTCTCCTCCTCTCTCTCTCTCTCGCTGGTTCTGCATTTGAATAAATATTTCGCAACACTATGCATAACGATACCGTGGAAATTAATTGGAAGGTGCAGAATCTACCGCATACGTTTCTTTGATCTCGTTTCTAATAGAAAAGGCTGGCTATATTCGCTTCGGTATGGATCTGCGCGTCGCGGCAAACACTTAGAAAACTCAGTACCGTGACAAAAATGAGTTTAGAATTCTTCCCACCTATTCGTAATTACGCTTGCAATAATTCCTGCAGTTTAAAACAAAGATTGTCTATTGAGCTCGCTAAGTAGCATTACTTTCTGCCGCAGTTCAGAACAAAGTTGATTACTAATCAACAAACACTCTTTAATTATATACCCTCATAATTTTGTAGTAAATAAGCCGCAAATGATTTAAATGTAAATGAAATCATCTTTGCATCATTTTTACTTTATCATTCGTTTGACAGTAATACTTCCTAATTAGAAAGTGCGAAAGTTATATTTTAAATTTCCAATTCCGGTTGAAATAAAATGCGGAACAAATAGCTAATGAATTGGGAGATTTCAATTATTTTATTCCTTCAAAAATCAATAGTGCTTATAGGAAACTCATTCTTGTGCGGAGCGCGAAAATGAGAGTATCGGCAGACTACGTATGTATTAGTGCATCAGATACGTACATTTATATTAGACACTTCTAAAACTAACCAAAACGGAGATGAAAATGGAATGTTCATTATTAATGGTATTAATCGTAACTTGGGCATTATCCAGATTCATAATTGGACTGTACCCGTACTTTTAAAATGACTGTATAAATATATGGGAGAAAGATTCCATGAGACATGTTAGCCATGCAATGAAAAAAGTCAATAAGAAGCCCAAAGCTTTTAGTTTCAAGGATATGAATGTCATATAATATTTTCATATTTCATGCTTGAGGAATAAATCATGTTTCATACTCTCCAATAGGGTTAGCATATCTGTAATTAATTAAATGTATTTTTTCTTTAATGACAAGTAAACTAGCTCATGTAATCTGATTTCCCTTTTTGCTTTTGCAATTTTTTTTTTCAGATATAGTCATAAATATATTTATTGGAAAAAGGAAGGGAAGAATAAATTTTTACTATAAATTAATCAGTAAATAACATATTTGCTTAGAAATTTATTTCAATTTTAGAGTGTCTTTTATTATTATTCGTATTTATTGAAAGGAATACATCATATGACGATGAATATATCATGAAGTATTATTTATGCATGACTATTAAACTGTTATTTATAGTGCTGCTAAACGTAGGTCCCCTGTTACTGTTTATCTTGTTAATGTTCATAATTATGCATTCCTTGAAACAATTTCATCTCACACTAAAGCAAATATAATCAAATACAATTTGCAAAATTTCAAATAAGTAAAATTTATTTACCTAAGCCTAATACTTTTTTTTAATGTATGAATGTTCCACCTAGAAATGTAACAATGGTAAAGAATTATACTGTACAATATAATACATGTAATCTCAAGATTAGTTGGAACCATATTTTAAAGTATAATTTAACAAAGAAAAGACTTTCCAGAGGTAGTACTTTTTTTGTTGTTGTTGTTTCCGTAATTTCTTGGTACGAATAATATGCATTACAGATCACATGAATGTTCTCTAAAGTCTCTAACATAAGAGAGTTATTTTAACCGTTGATTGTGTCTTTAAATTATTTTATTTCCTTGCCTTCTTGCCAGTGTTCCTTGGGCTGGACTGTGTTTTGTATCATACTGCTACCTAAAGTATCTCTCTAGTCTTTGCCACTTTGTTACGAAACTGGAGCATGTAACATACGGATTTCTCAGTACATATTTGTAGTTTTTAATTATGTTATAAACTTGTTCATTGCAAAATGTATATGGTTATTACATATGCTTGAGAGAAATTAAATGTTCGTTGCTATGTTCAAGGCGTCATGTAAACAAGTTCTATGGCAATTCTTCTGAATGATCATGGCTGTTTGTAACCTCAATTCAACACATCGCCAAAATGACATCCGTGCTGAGTCAAGCCATGTGGAATTGAGTGTCATTCACGTGAGAAATTTTATTGGAAAAGATGAAATGAATCGATAACAAAACAAAAGCATGTCCAAAATAACATAAAAAATTACATGAATAGGTTTTAAGAAACATGACACAGCAACTGTTGTAGGGTCTTTAGGTTTTTTTTTACGCTGGAGACGTGAAAAATAGGCAGTGCCCTCGCTGGGACTCGATCCTTGGACCTCTCGAATACGCATCAAGTGTGCTTCCAGTTACACCACGAAGGCATGTGGAAAGAAGGGAGAAAATACGTTATATACTTCCCCTTTTAAAGGGCGACTGAGGATGAGGGGTTCCAGTCGCCAAATCTTGGTGCTGACGAATTATCGAGTACCATCTTTTAGTTCGGGCGACACTGTAGAGTCATTCGGTTATATCGATGTAGGAACTTGGCAAATGTGCACTGCCCTCGCCGGAATTCGAACTCCGGATTTCCCAAACACGTGTCGCGTGTGTTTCTAGTTACATCACGAAGGCATGCAGAGGGAAGGGAGAAAATACCTTATACGGTATTACAAAATTAACAATTACCTTTAGCAACATCGTTACACGTACAATACTAGCACCCATCATACAAGTAATTTTACGAAGAGCACTCCAAAGCTTGTTGTAAATACTTCCTTAGCTTCAAGATACACTCAAAAAATGCATTAGGAGCTAAGGCATAAGATTACTTAAAGCTGAATGTGAAGACAACATATTGTAGGATATACTTAATAAATGAAGAAAATAATATTCAGATAATACATAAAATGTGGTACATGACCCGTGAGGAGTATTAATGGCTAGTGAAAGGATATGTAGTTTTCTTAAAAATCAACAGTTTTTACTGAATTCTCGCATATGTGGAAGCACAATACTTAATAGATCTTTCAATCCTTAAGTAGTGCAACTTTACTGGAGAGCGTATTCTCTGCCCAAGCCATCAAGTAATTAAGAGGCGATGATTTGAAATGGTGGTCCCGTGTGAAAGGATATTCAGATAAACAGTGATCGGGATTGCCAACCCAGCCATATTCACATATGTTCATGTCACTCTACTAAAACTGGCTTAAACAGGACAGAAAGGTATCGTGACCTATTTATAAATATAGGTAATCTACATTTCAGAATTTTCAGCAAATTTCGGGATTCTTCAGAGTCCTGAAAATCGCTGAAAATTACAAAACAACGAAATCGCCAATTCAGAAATTGAAGTTGATTCTCGTCCTATTAGAGATTTTCGAAGAAAACTAAATTTCTTCAAATCGACAAATGATGAAGCTACGTGGACGTCACTTGACGCCTACAAGCCATGCCCTGTCAGATTTGGACTTCAAAACTTTTACAAGAGTCAAATTGTCTCACTATCTGTTTATGGTGTCTTCACGTTCACTCGCTTCGAGTAATTAATTCAGGTACCCTCTCATCACAAGGCCAACTGTGGAATTAACTTAGGTTACTGGGAAATACTACTTTAGTAGTAGAACCTCAGTATAATTACATTCGTATCCAACCATCCAAGGGACGTGTTAGAAACTGTGTCAGATTTTATTTGCCAATTTCGCAGTTTGTCTACTTTAGTTTGCAGGAGTACCTATCGGCTCAGTCTGCAGGAGTACCTATCGGCTGATGCCGAAAGTGATTTCAAAATCAGCAGGTAGGTATGCCTGCTTGTTGTAAATGAATCCCAGCGTTCCTGCCGAGTATGAATGAGTCTAGCTTTTAATAATATCAACTCGAGCTCAGCTACCTGAGAAAGATTGCTGTGTAATTAATTGTTAGCACTCGCAAGAGTGCTGAGAGTCATTAAGCACATTGTTTATTTATTTATTAATTTTTCCGCCCAACCGAAACACTGGTTAGTGACTCTGGCTGCCGTAACGAAGGGCCCTGGCTCGAATCCTGGTGAAGGCATGGATGTTTGTAAAATGTTTGTGCGGCATAGGGGTACTCTAAATATGCGGCTAGCCGAAAGGCCTCTCGAGTGGCTGCAGTAGGGGAAGAGGGGTGGAAGATCCTCGGACCCGTCCCGCTGAAGTGCTCTCTCACAATATTAGGGACAGAACTGAGCTACAGTTTGGCTGTCACTTATATTGCGCTCAAGGTTCTTGCCAACGACAAACGTATTTAACTTCTTGCCACAATGGCTGTCGTGGGCTTGTGCTGACCATTGTGAGACAAGTGAGACTGGTAATAACAACAGCATCATTTGCTAATTTTTATATTTTAGCAAGAGCTTTGAAATATCAAGGGCCCTAACCGAGAATCAAGCCTGAGACCTTCTATTTGCTAGCTGGATGTGAGGGCGGCTATACCATTAGGACACATAGAAGGACTACTTTTAACTCTTTTAGAGGTAAATTATCAATGAGCCCATTTAATTTGGATATAACTGTCGAGCCATTAATTTATTTAATTTTTCTTCTTATTATTAATCCTTAGGAAGCAGAAATTCAAAAAAAAAATTCAATTGTACCCTCGCCGAAAATCTAGCCCATGACATCTTAATTGCTAGCTAGATGTACTTAGCAGTTGTCACGAGGTCCTTGTCACCTTGTGATACTGCAAGGACGTGTGGGATGTATGAGATCGGACATCGGTTGTATCCTTGCGACAGC